CTAAATGTCTTGAGTTTTATACTAAAGATGCTATGAAGAAAATACGAATGTAAAATACAGTCAGATGTGATCAGGTTTGTGGAAAATATACAATTATTTTAAATGCCTACCCAGTTCTGTGTAATAGTAAAGAGTGTATGTCAGAAGGGAAAAACAAAGGAAAAACATTTTTCCCTTATGTCTTCTAGGGGCAGGAACTTAGAGATAGTCTACCATAGGTTTTGTGTTCCTTTGTTTTTGCAAAGATAAGAATCTGTGATCAAGGAAAGGAAGTTGCTGGTTGCTAACTGGGTATTTTGGGAAGACGTTGGTCACTGGCAACAAACACATTCTGTTATATTGTATTGCTTAGTCATTTGTCAAAAATAACTCCTTAGTCCCATCTCTGTCACTTCTTCCAGCACCTGGTAACCAGGCTTCACTTCAAATTAATCACCATATCCTATTAATTCCCATCATATGATGTTTACTGTACCAACAAAGCTTTGTGTAAATTCAATCAGTACAAATGTTCCTCTCCAACATTCCTATATTTAAGATTTATTTAATTTTTCTATAAAAATATTTTCTTTATTATTTTTATTTTATGTGTATGAGTGTATTGCCTGCATGTAAGTGAGTTAACTCACGTTGTGCAATGCCTCAGAGGTGAGAAGAGGGTTTCGGATTCCCCTGGAACTGGAGTTAAGGACGGTTCATAGCCGCCATGTGGGTGCTGGGAATCGAATCCAGGTTCTCTGCAAAAGCAGTCAGTGCTCTTAACTGCTGAGCCATCTCTCCAGCCCCTTATTTAATTTTTCTAAATTACATGTATATATGGGAGAAGGAGGGTAATGTGCATGTGAGAGAGGTCCTAGAGGTTCAGAAGAGATCAGATCTCCTGGAGCTTGAGTCACAGGAGGTTTTGAGCCACTCTACACAGCTGCTAGGAACTAAACTCAGGTCCTCTGCCCTTAAGCAGTATGTGCTTTTAACCACTGAGACATCTCTCCAGTCTGACCAGTTCTTAAAAGATTTATTTTTTGTTTTGTTTTTATTTGTTTTTGTTTTCTTTCTTGAGAAAGGTAACACCAGCTCTGGCTGGTCTGGAACTGTCTATATAGACCAGGCTGGCTTTGATCTCAGAAATCTGCCTGTGTTTATCTCCGAGGTGCTAAGATTAAAGTTGTATACCACGTCTGTCAAGATTTCACCCGTGTGTATGTGTCTCTGTGTGTGTGTGTATGTAAGTGCACCTGTGTTGTGTAATGCCCGTGGAACCCTAGGCCTGTATCCAGACTGTTTTCAAATAAAAGAAACAGGAAACATGACAAAGTCCAAATTCCAAACGTTGGAATTAGCAGACTACATAGTTATAGAAGCTAAACAACTATGCCTAGAGACTTGTAAAAACAAACAAGAAAACCAGGGGTGGGTAAGACAGCTATGGAGGTACTTCCTGCTAAGCCTGACTGCCCCCAGAATGTTTTTTTAAAGAAAAAAAATTGAATAGATCCTCCCGCAATATCCTTTTGAACAATATCCAAAAGACTAAAGTTTAAGTAACTAGAGTTTCAGAAGAAAGAATGAGAGAAAATATTTGAGGCAACTGGTTGACCAATTTAATAAAAATCATAAATCTTATCAAGGTACGCCTGTCTTGAAAATGCCCTAGGTACATGATAGGGAAATTTCTAAGACAATCTTAAAGAGAAATCTGAAAGCTCATAGAAGAGTGACACGTTATTTACAGGAATAAAAAGATAAGAGCTGGGCCTGTGGTTCCCACCTGTAATTGCAGCACTCAAGAGTCTGAGGCAGGACTGTCATGAGTTTGAGGCCAGTGGGTGCTATATAGTGAATTTCAGGCAGCCTAGTTTACAGAGTGAGACCCTGTCCTAAAAAAGCAGAGAGAGAGAGAGAGAGAGAGAGAGAGAGAGAGAGAGAGATCTGAATAAAATTTAGACACAATGGAAGTGAGAAGACAGTAGAAAGGCATTTCAAATGCTGAAAGGATGAAAACAAAAACCAGTCAAAATCAGTCTACCCAGAGTTCTATATCCAGCAAAAATATCCTTCAATAATGAAGAGAAGGCAGGCATGGTAGTTCATGTGATCCCAACATTCAAGGAGGCAAAGGCAAAAAAATCAGGAGGTCAAAGATATCCTTGGCTGCAGAGCAAGTTCAGACCCAGTTTAAACGAATTAACACTTAAGACCCTGTCTCAAAACAAGAATAATGAAAAAAAAAAAAGGGGGGATAAATTAAAGATATTTTCAGATAAATGAAGATTAAGAGAATTCATCCCCGAAAAACTTGCACTATAAGAAGCAAAAGGATGGGGGATGCGACATATAGAAAAAACATTAACATAATAAAGGCTACATACAACAAGCCCATAGCAACATCAGGGAAAAACTGAAAGCATGTCCTCAAAGATCAGGAACAAGAGAACGTTGTCCGTTCTTATACTCTTTCTTTATTTTTATTTTTTTAAACTTTTTAGTTTATTAATTTTATTTAATGTGTATGCATGTATTGCCTGGATGTAGGTAAGTGCACCTGTGTCATGCAATGCCAGTGGAGGTCAGAAGAGGCTGTCGGATCCCCTGGGACTTGAGTTATGGAGAGTTGTGAGCCACTATGTGGGTGCTGGGATTTGAACCTGGGTCTTCTGCAAGAAAAACCAGTGTTCTTAACCACTGAGCCATCTCTCTAGCCCCCATTCTTACACTCTGATTCAAAACTGTGCTTGAAATTTTAGTCAGTGCAATCAGGGAGAAAATAAATAGGAGGGATACAAATGTAAAGGAAAAAATTAAAGTATATCTGTTTACAGATACTATGATCCTACGCCCAGAATACCCTAAACACTCCAGCAAAAAAACTTAGAAATGATAAACAAGGGTGCTCCAGTGGCGAAATTGGTTAGCACTCTATATTTACAAAGAAATGATAAACAAATTCAACAAAATATGCAAAATCAACATACAAAAATCAATAGCTTTGTGCTGGATAGCTTTAGTGTCAATTTGATACACCTGGGTTGAGGGAGCCTCAATTGGGGCTCACGATAGCGTCAAAAACAACCAACCAACCAACCAAATCTTGAATGGAGAGGAGGAAGAAGAGAAAGAGGAGGGAGGAGGAAGAGAAGAAAGATGCTCACAACCCACGTAGTAGTAAATCTTGTTTACAGTAGCCTCAGAAACATCCAACCAACCAGAAAACGGGAGAAAGAAGGTGCCCCCTCAACCTAGGATAAACTTTAAAAAAAATCAGTGATGTGCTACAGGAGAAAAATTAAAGCAATTCTCAGTACTGTGTCATCTCCTGTTACAGCACATCAACAATGGACTCATGGTCCCTACATCCCTCACACATCCTTATGCCTCTGAGCTTTCACTCATACTGCTCCCTATGTCAAGGACACTGGTAAGACTGTTTATCCTTCAAGGCAGAATGCAAAAGGTCCTCTTGTATAAAACTTTAGTGTCGTACAATTAACCCCTGTGGCCACTGTGTTCCAGACCATGTTTTTAATTCTGTTGCACTGTGCACACATGGAGGTGGGGGACAGGCATCAACTGCTCTCACTGTTCCTTTGGATTGTTTCCCACCTGGAATGTGAATCTGTAGTCCATGGCTTTTCACTTATGTGTTTCCAGCTTCAAAGAATTCCTAGCACAGTATAAGGCCTAGAAGCCATCTTTAGCATGATAGAAAATCCATCTTCAGGGCCTGGACTTTATCTCAACTGTGAATAACCTAAAATTACTAAATTATTGGTGCCCTGAACTGCCAAAAGGCACTAGTATATGATGGAGAAACAACACTGGAAGGCTAAATTCACTGCACTTTCATAGCTCTAGGTCAATGCAATGAGAAGGAACTCAAGTGCTCTAAGAATGGGTGTGAAGCCACACGTGGCTTTATAGTATTTCTTACCTCTAAGGATCAATAATCTAGATTTGCACACATTTAACAGAGCTTTAAAGATAATACACTAAAATTCTAAAATGAGCAACTAGAAGATAGTAGCAACAGATAAACATTCCCAGCATTACAGAACTAAGGCTACTTTGGGATATGAGAGAAAGGAAGGATATACACATTAAATAGAGGATGCAGTTACTCACCTGTCGAATTGACATAGTACAGAGAATATACAGGAAAATGAAGGAACAATCTGTGGTGTCATCTCCCAGCAGGTTTCGATGAGACAGTCCTTGGATGTAAGAAAGGGGAGTGAAAGGGAGCTTTGCCACCACTCTACCGTCAAATCTAAAAAGAAGAAAACAATTTATTTTTGAGAAAACTGACAAGCTTCTTATTTTCAAAAAAGAATCTGGGGTAGAAATAGAATGTTGAGTCTCTTCATCTCTGGAAAGCAAAGGTTGACATGCAAGGAGACAGAACCTTGAAGTGCAGTGATGGTAAGGGCCTAGAGCAATCGGTATTTTCTGAATGAGTGGCTCTCTGTTCTTTTGGTATGAAGACCCCTTTATATACTCTTAAATTATGGGGGCCCTAAAAGGCTTTTTTGGTATAGATTATAGCCATTAATATGTGCTGTATTAGAAATTATTCCGAAGCTGGGCATGGTGGCACACACCTTTAGTCCCAGCACTTGGGTGGCAAAGGCAGGCAGATTTTTGTGAGTTTGAGGCCAGCCTGGTCTACATAGTAAGTTCTAGGCCAGCTGGGGCTACAGAGAGACCCTGTCTCTTTTTTTGCCAATCCTTGAGAAATGTTTTTTTAAAAGAATCCTCTTGGGGCTGGAGAGTTGGCTCAGTGGTTAAGAGCACTGCCCGCTCTTGCAAAGGACCCGGGTTTGGCTCCCAGCACCCACATGGTGGCTAACAACCATGGTGGAAGAAGAGAACCAACTTCCACAAGTTGTCCTCAGAACCCCCCAACATGTGCTGTGGGTTACCTACACACACACACACACACACACAACATAACACAAGACACACAAACAAAATAGATAAAACATAAAAAAAAAAACTAAGAGTACCTTTGAAGAAAATATATTCTAAAACAAAAGGTATTAAAAGGGGAATTCTTTCATGGGAATATTAAAAAGCATAACATAATACTGCAAAGTTAATTTACAAAGTTAACATCACTTCTCTCCTTCCACTTTTATATAGGTCACCAGGTTTGCACAGCAAGTCCCTTTACCCAGTAAGCCATTGCCAGCTCCCCTAACAATATTTTAAATGTTTAATTGACATATTGTTATGTATTGTTACATACTATGGTATACAGGGAGTATGACATTTCAGTACATGTATAAAATGTGTAATGATCAAAATAACAGCTTATCTATCACCTCAAATATTTATCACTTCTTTGTGGTAGGAACACTCAAGATCTTTGCTCCCTGCTATGTTGAAAGTTAAAATAAATTATTATTAAGTGTAATCACCTTACTATAGAACAGTTGGCTACTTAAGTTTGATCCCTAGAACCTACATGGTAGAAGGGGAAAATCAACTCACACAAGTTTTCCTTTGACCTACACATGCAAATAATGACACACATCCTCACCTCCATACACAAAATAAATGTAGGGGGGGAAAAGAATTACAGAATAGAAATCATGGTACTTCTAGATACCATAGGTAAGTTATTTAATCCTCCAAAGGCTTCCAGTTCTAAAGTTCTATATAATTCCAAGAATGATTAATTAAGTAAAAAGTTTACATTAAGCCAGGTGTGGTGGCGAACACCTTTAATCCCAGGACTCAGGAGGCAGAGGCAGGCGGATCTCTGTGAGTTTGAAGCAGCCTGGTCTACATAGAGTTCCAGGACAGCTGGGGGTACAGAGAGACCCTGTCTCAAAAAAAAAATATATATATATATTAAACCATTTTGGACACTCTAAATTTGTCACCTAGATAAAAATAATCACTTTCTTCTCTCTCCCTTACTATGCCTCAGAGGTATTTCTATAATAATACCCATCAATGTATCATTGTTTTATGTCTTAGCTGCCTGTAAAATTTTGGTATTGGTGAAGGCAGGGGTCACAACATGTTATATTTCAACAGTACGGTGCCTCGCACAGCGCATGCACTGAACAAGTAGGAAGGACACTTTGGAAGGAGGACAGATAGACAAAAAGGAAATGTGGGAAAAGAAACAGAAAGATAAGGAAACAAGAAAGTAGGGCAATTCTACTGCATGTGGACTAGTTCAGGTGAGCTTTGAAGGGTAATAAAGAGTTGTCGTCTTTGGATGTTTTTCTAACTCTGTCAAAAGCAGTTTTACAATTACTTTAGTCTGCTATATGCTCATGTAGACAACAGTAACTGACCTCATCACTGAACAAGATTATAGTTAAGACTATTTTAAGAGTAAATATGTCTTTAAATGAATACTTTCAGTTTGAAGAAGCATATTAGTAAGCAATTTAAAAACAGAGGGAACATACTGAGTCCTTTTAAAAAGACTACATAATGCCTAAGTTTTTATTTTACAAATATGTTCACTATTAAGTAGTTTTAAAAGTTATTATGTAATTCTGTCAAAATGGAATTCTTTTTATCTCTATAAGTATTTTGAGGTTATATAAGAAAATGAGCTGAGGAGATGGCTCAGCAGGTAAAGGCACTTGCCACCAAGCCTGATGACATGAGCTTAATCCTCTGGACCTCCATGGTGGAAGGAGAGAACCTACTCCTGTAAGTTGTTCTCTGGCCTCTATAAGTGCCCTGTCGTTACACAACATGTCTACACACACACACCTACACACACACACATGCATGCACACACATGTGCACCCATGTAAATAAATAAATGTAATAAAAAAAAATATCCTTAGGAAATACGCACTGAAGTAGGTATGGGTTTAGGAGCATGAAGCCTACTGGATAATCTCAAAGAAAAATACATAATGGGAAGGATATGCTCAAAGTATATTATATATTTTTTTGAAAATGTCCTTATGAAGCCCAGTACTATGTTCAGTGAATATAAGCCAATAAAAAAGAGTGGGAAGACGAATATGGGGGGAATGGGCTCAGCATACAGTATGTACTTATATCACAGTACCATGTACAATAAATATATATAAGGAATTTAAAAATTTTTATTTATTTTTATTTTATGTGTATGAGTGTACTGCCGGCATACAGTAAGTGCAACCATACTGACCTGTGGAGGTCAGAAAAAGATGTTGGACCCTCTGGAACTGGAGTTACAGATGGTTGTTAGCCACCATGTGGGTGCTAGAACCCAAACCCAGGTCCTCTGCAAGAGAAGCCAGTACTCTTAACCACTGAGCCATCTCTCCAGTCTCATATATGGGGAATTTTTAAAAAGGAAAATATGAGGACATATGATATGAAAAAACAATCACAAGTAAAATAACTATTAATTTGGATAACAGACATATTCTTCTAACATTTACTTTTTTATTTTATTCCTTTCTTTTTGACTTCTAAGAGAAAGTCTGGCTATATAATATATGCCGGCCTCAAACTCAGAATCTTCCTGCTTTAAATTACTGGGCTATCAATTTGAAAATTCAACAAATTAAATATCACCAAAAAGCTTATGTTCACATGCATACAAGCACAGAAAAACATTTATTAGGCAAAAGTATATATAAAAAAAAATTACTCACATAGAATTAAACATTCCCATTAGAGCAGTAAAACAAAAGCCAATCGCAAACATGGATTTCATTCGTACCTATAAGGAAAGCAACAAATGGTCATTTCACACTAAAACAAAACAAAACAAAAACAATAAGAAACACTAAAAAAATTTGGTTTCATGTCATTTGCTTAAGAAGTTCTCCATAGCCAAAAGCTGTTCCTCTGCTAACTCACCTTCCATCACCAATTCCTCTTCTCTTCGCTACCTTGTGATAAACTAGGGTAGCTCTGTGGCCCAATTCTGGCCAATGAGTAATAAGTGATGTGTTGACTAGGATACTTACATTATTGTTGTTAACTTATGGAGTCTAGCTATGTTTCTTAGGCTGGCTTTTAATTCCTGGTCTCAGCTGATTCTCCGCCTCTATGCCTGCTGAGCAGCTGGGATTGTGGGAATACACTACCAAATACCTGACTCTGAAAAGGACTTTTTAAAAGGACAAACTCGCATCTCTTAGACTTTTTGCCTGTTTTTAATGTGTGTTTCTGAAATGAGAATATAATGCCTGAAGGAAAAACAGAGACCAAACAGCCAAGTGAACTTAGCTAAGGGCACTACTGAGCAGCTATACCAGCTTAGGGCTGCCAATCTCTCCACTTCCTGAGCAACAAAAGGAGCCATTACAGTTCAGGCCCTCCTAATTTGGAATTCTGTAATTTGCAATTGTTTTTAAACTGCATATCCCATAGATGCATAAATGGATAAAGGATTATAAAGATATACAATTTCCAGAGTTATCTTGGGATTGTTGTTATTTTGTCATTTTTACCTTTTATAGTTTCCAAATTTGCTATGGTGAACATAGAATTGTGCTAAAGGTAAGAAAACTTTCATTTTAAAATTTTATTCTACCTTTTAACATTATTATTTTGGCTTTTTGACAGGGTCTCCCTTGTAGCCCCAGTTAGCCTGAAACTCACTAGGTAGACCACACTAGCCTTGAACTCAGAGATTCACCTGCCTTTGCCTCCCAAGAGCTGGAATTAAAGGCATGTGCCACCAAGGCTGGCTTAGTAAGACATGTCTGAAGGAGACAAATTATACCTTCTAGTGATCTTTAAAAACATGCTATTAAAATTAAGATTAAACAGGGTAGTATATTTCATTTCTATCTGCCCAAGAATACCTATGATTATTATTTAAGGCCCTGAAAGGTAATACATTTTGAAAAGGTAAGTGCAACATGTTTGATAAAAATAAGACTTTTGCTGGACTGGAGAGATGGTTCAGCGGTTAAGAACACTGACTGTTCTTGTAGAAGACCCGGGTTTGAATCCCAGCACCCACATGGCAGCTAACAACTGCCTGTAACTCCAGTCCCAGGGGATCCAACAGCCTCTTCTGTCCTCTGCGGGCACTGCATGACACTGATGCACTTACCTGCATGCAGACATAACACTGATTCGCATAAAAAATAAAAATAATAAATAAAATATTTTAAAAAAATAAGACTTTTGCTTAAAATCAACAAAGCCAAAAACATGTGGTCTACCATGAAGCTACATTTTGGACTCTTACCATTGACAGATCCCTATTGTTATTCTTTAGCTTCTCTTCTTGTCTCTCTGGAAAAGAAAAAACTGGTCAGTACAGTGTTGAGCACAGAACAGGTATTAGACACATTTTCACTGACTAGAGATTACAAAAGCATTTTGTCTCAACATCACTTAATTAACTGAAGTAGACACAGGGGTTACTGTACACTCTTTACCAACACATTGATATATAATAAAGCATCAGAATATTTCAATTTAAGGCTGGGCAGTGGTGGCACATGCCTTTAATCCCAGTACTTGGGAGGCAGAGGCAGGCAGATTTCTGTGAGTTCAAGGCCAGCCTGATCTACATAGTAATAAGTTCCAGGCCAGCTGGGGTTACAGGGAGACCCTGTCTCAAAAAAAAAACAAAAAACAAACAAACAAAAAAAAGCACATAATCTTAAAATGAAAAAATTAAAAGTGTTTCAATTCTTTTTTTATTTTAATTTTGTCTGTATATTACGTGCATGTATGTAAGTGCACCTGTGTTGTACAGTGCCCATGGAGGTCTGAAGAGGGTGTTGAATTCCCCTGGAACTGGAGTTATGGACAGTTGTTAGCTGCCATATGGGTGCTAGAAATTGAAACTGAGTCCTCTGCAAGAGCAGCCAGTGTTCTTAACTGCTAAGCCATCTCTCCAGGCCCCGTGTTTAATTCTTTATATATTCATTTACACTGACAGGAATTGCCAATCCATACACACCTTTAATTCCAGCACTTGGGAGGCAGAGGTAGATGGATCTCTGTGAGACTGAAGTCAGCCTGGTCTACATAGTGAATTCTAGGCTGGCTGGGGCTACAAGGAGACTCTGTCTCAAAAAAAACAAAACAAAAAATAAAAATAAAAGAACCTATCTTTGCCAGGCATGGTGGCACACGCCTTTAATCCTAGCACTTGGGAAGCAGAGGCAGGAGGATCTTTGTGAGTTCAAGGCCAGCCTGGGATACATAGTGAGTTCCAAGACAGCTGGGGCTACAGGGAGACTCTGTCTCAAAAAGACCAAAAAAAAAAAAAAAAAAGAACCTATCTTTTACATTTTCTCGTCTTTTTTCGATTTATCTAAAAGAACATGTAGTCTAAAAGAAGCTATTTGATAAAAATGAATTTAAAATTCATTGCTTCATATTATAAATGACGAGCTTAAGGTATTAAAGAAGTCTCAAATGTACTTTAATGCCTTTATTACTGTGTTCCAACAAAAAGCACTAATTGTCAACAGCTTTCCATTTTCCTCATTGCTAATTCAAGTTGTTATGTCTGAGGTTACCCAAAAATGTAACTACTTGCTCCAGTGGCCCATCCCCAATATAACAGAACAAAGATTACATGAGAAAAGGAAAAGTGGGCAAAAAAGCAGAGCAGAAGAGAAGGCACAGTAAACTAAACACATATACAAGGGAGAAATACCTGCTTGGAATGAGCAAAATCTATTTAGAGGAAAAGTTAAAATGCCCCAAGAAGCAGAAAACAAAATTTTAAGAGAACTACCAAATAGGAAGTTATAAAAACAAAGAACTTAACATTAAACAAAACAGGTAATTTAAGAGTTCAGAAATTCACATACTGCTCATTTAGAAAACAAACCTGACATAATGGAAATGTTAGCCACAGGGAAAAAGCTTCAGGTATTCCCCAGCTTATGAACAGCAATCTCATAAGTATCTCCCACATAGCCACAATCAGCTCCATATGCTCCCTCTTCCCACACTAAACCGAAACCCTGGACATTAGAACTCCAGGTTCTCTGGTCTTCAGACTCCAGGGCTTGCCCCCATGGCCTACTGAGTTCCTTGACTTTTGGCTTGAGACCAGGAGTTATGCCATCAGCTTCACTAGTTCTCAGGCCTTTGGGCTTGAGTCCAGCCACTAGCTTTCCTAGTTTTCCAGTTGGTACATGACCTACTATGGGGTCTATCAAGATCCAGTCATAAACCTTCCTTTCTTGCTGCCACTTGCCTAAGAGGCAGCCAATCCCTAAGTTGTCCTATAACTTATGCAAAAAGTGCTCAGCTGAGCAAACAAGCTCCTTTTGTCAAACATTTGAATTAGAAAATCTTGGGAGAAAATTCCATGACAGTATAAAAAATACTGGTTCTAAAACTTTCACAGGGCTGGAGAGATGGCTCAAAGGTTAAGAGCACTGACTGCTGAGCCGGGTGTGGTGACACACGCCTGTAGACCCAGCACTTGGGAGGCAGAGGCAGGCAGATATCTGTGAGTTCAAGGCCAATCTGGTCTGCATAGTCACCCTGTTTCAAAAAGACCAGAAGAAGAAAAAAAAAAAAAGTACTGGCTGCTATTGCAGAGGACCAGGTTGGGATCCAAGGGATTTGATACCTCTTCTGGCTCCCACGGACATTGCATGCAAGGTAACACACAGAAAATAAAAATAAATAAAACATGTAAAAAAAACTATTAAAACTTTCACATGCCCTAAAAAATTATCTATGCAGTGAGTTTTAAAACAAAACAAAACAAAACAGAGTCCTGGGTCTCATATTCAGAGACAGATTCAATAAAGTCTGATGTAAGCGGGGCGTGGTGGCACCCGCCTTTACTCCCAGCACTTGGGAGGCAGAGGCAGACGGATCTCTGAGAGTTCAAGACCAGCCTGGTCTACAGCACAAAAAGACCAAAAAAAAAAAAAAGTCTGATCTAAGACTTGGATCTCTTCACTCGTGAATGTCACAGGCAATGTTGACGTTAAGGTCTACAGATCACATTAAGAAAATACTGACGGGGCTGGAGAGATGGCTCAGTGGTTAAGAACACTGGTTGTTCTTGCAGAAGGCCTGGGTTCGAATCCCAGCACCTACATAGCAGCTAACAACTGTCTGCAACTACAGTCCCAGGGGATCCGACAGCCTCCTCTGACCTCCGTGGGCACTGCATGACATGGGTGCACTTACCGACATGCAGGCAATACACACATACACATAAAATAAAAATAATAAATAAAATTTAAAAAAAATAAAGAAAATATTGACACAGAATGAACCCCAGGACTCAAACCAGTTAGGTGAAGATGTAAGTTAAATGCTAGAGAAACACTTTGAGAAAGTGAAGAAGTTGAAAAAGAGGAGGAAGAAACATTTCTTAATAGCAGAGCCTTAACATGAAGGCCCATGCCTGCTGTTTGCCTAACTTGCTCTACCAGATCCTGCCGGAATAAGCTACTCCAGCTGGACCTGAGTTTCTGATCACAGGTATCCTTAAAAGAAATCTCTTATGGCTTGAAGTAACTTCAGTGCAGCAAAACAAAACAAAACAAAACAAAAATTTAATGAAATTTACAAATCAGAAGTAATTTCTCATCTATGAAAGGAAATATAAAACAGTCAAAACATCTGTTCTGAAATTAGAAATGGGGAACAATAGACCTTTAGTTAAAATGCCAAAAACATCTGTTTCGATTTACCAGCTCTATCAGGGATCATCACCAAAGTGTTTCACCCAGGGAAATGATCCTAGAAATGCTGATTGCTCCTGGCCATGTCATTCTTACTGAGAACTACTTTCTTTCACTGTAGCACTTTTATGGCTTTCTTAAACCCAAATATTATATATGTTAGGTTTTTGTAAATAAGATCAAGTAGGGAATCTGAGCAGAGGAAATATATAGGTCAAATAATAGCAAAACTCAGACAGGATCAATACATGTAAATATTTAATTGTTCCTCTAATATTGCTGGAAATAAATAAATCTGACTTTATGCTTCTAAACAGCTGATTCAAACAAAAAGTAAATCTGTCAGTTACTAATAATTTATAGAAATTTTCTTGTTCAGAGGACACTGATTAACTGGATTTAAGATATTACAAAGTTCACATACTGTCTTTACCCTTCACAAGCATAAGGCACTAGTTTCAAGAAAATATTCAAATCCTATTAAGACTCAAATATGAGGTGGAATTATTAGATACAGTATATATACATCAGAAAACCTATGTATTTTAAAGAAACAGAAGTCTATGTTGTACATTAGAGAGAGTTGTTTCTGTCACTGTTTTACTGTATAAGTAAAAGTGGTAGAAGATCATGCATTCTAGAGTCATTTCTTTTAGAATTAAAGTATTTTTTTGTGTGGGGGGGGGGCGGTTGGGACAGGGTCTCCCTGTAGCCACAGCTGGCCTGGCACTCAATATGTAGAGTAGGCTGGCCTTGATCTCAAAGAACTGCCTGCCTCCCAAGTATTGGGATTAAAGGTATGCCCCACCATGCCTGGCTAAAGTATATTTCTTAAAATTAAAAAAAAAAAAAAAAAGTAAAAAGAAACCAGTTTAAGCATACTATAAAATAAAACCAAACCAATTATTTAAAAGAAGTGTTTTTCTGATACTGAAAACAAACAAATAGTTTCTACAATATCCCCAGAAAAGACAATACTATGGCCAGGCATCTTGGCAAGCCTAGAGTCAAAGCACTCAGAAGCCTACAGTTATAGGAAGATTAAGAATCACAGCCAGTCGGGGTCATACATCAAGTTCCAAGAAAGCCTGGGATAGCTAGAGACCTTGCCTCAAAACAAAACAAATCAGGGACAGGTGACATGGCTCAGCAGGCAAAGGCGCGCATTACCACATTCAGTTCCCTCCCTTCAACATCTGTGACACAGTGCCATTCCAGCTTTAGGGCAAGACTTCATCACAGCCCCATCTTCTACCCCTTTAGTTTGTGTTTCCTCTATACTCAGTTCTCTTTGTCCCATGTCATATCCCAGCATAATCTCATTTACCTTGTGGACTTAATTACAGCACATACAATACAGTGAAGTTTTACAATAAAGCGATTGTTTTATTGATTACAAAAAAAAAAAAAAAAAAAAAAAAAACACCACCAGGCATGATGGCACACACCTTTAATGCCAGCTCCTGGGAGGCAGAGGCAGGCAGATCTCTTGAGTTTGAGGCCAAATTGTTCTACATAGTGAGCTCCAGGATAGTTAGAGCCACACAGTGAGACCTTGTTTCAAAAAACAAAAAGTAACAAAAAAAGACAACTTAATAAGATTCTGGGCTGGAGAGATGACTCAGTGGTTAAGAGCACGGACTACTCTTCCAGGAGCCCTGGGTTGGGTTCTCAGTACCCACATGGCAGCTAGCAACCATCCTTAATTCCAGTTCCAAGGAATTCGATCCCTCTTCTGGCTGCCACAGGCACTAGGCACACACATGATGAACTACATATATGCAGACAAAACACTCCTACACATAAAATAAAAATAAATAAATAAAAATTTAAAAGTCAACACTAAATGAATTTTAAAAAATTCATCAAGCCAGGTATTGGCCAGGCATCATGATGGTACAATTTTAATTCCAGGACTCTAAGGAAGAAGGATCATGAATTCCAAGTCAGCCTGGGCTACAGAGCATGTTCCTTAAACAGCAGCAAAAACCAGGTTGTCAGAAACAGAATTCTCTCCTGGGCTGTAACAGCAGTAATCTATACCTAGAGATATAGTCTCTAAACCAAATATAAAATTTCATAATTTTTCCAGATTTCAGAATCTGAACGCATTATCAAGCCTAAACATAAATCATATATTATCATTTATGAATTGTCTTTTGGGAGCATAATTACTTAAATTCTAAGTAAGGCTGAAAAACAAAAAACATAGTTATTTCTTATAATAGGTAACAATGAGACAGCAGAAAATTTACTCCCCTTTTGGTAGAGAGAGGGTTAATGTACCTCTCAATTCTCACCAATGAGGCTTCCATGTATATTAGAGTGCAATGCACACAGAAGGTCATAACTGGCCAAGTTTTGGAGAATAAGAGACTGCAGAGTATATGATGGGACTCCTATATGGAACCTCACCCACCTATAGCTCAGGGACCATTGCAGAAGAGGAGGTGGAAAGACTGTAAGAGCCAGGGATGGTTCATGAACACAGAGAGGTGGAGGCCTCCAGGCCATTGGAGTCTTGCTCATGTGAGCCTATAGCAGCAGTAGTGTTGAGCATGGGACCCATTTCAGCTCAATTAAACAAGTACCCAAAGGGGAAGTGAGAAATAGGTGGTGGGCCTGCACTAGATTGAGATCTATTTGAGACTAATTGCTGCTGGGTGAGGGAGAGTATGATTTACATACGACCACTGGACTGACTGACTAGACTTCAGTGGACACATTTACACTGAAGGACATTTGGGTACAAACACCTGAATGAATAGGACTCAGCATGTATGGCAGAGTGGGTAGGGTTCGGTGGGTGGATAGGGGGAGGCATGGATGGGGGAGAGGGTCTAGATTTGAGAGGGAACTGTATGAAGTTTAAAAAGCTCAATTAAGCTGGGCATGGTGGCACACGCCTTTAATCCCAGCACTTGGGAGGCAGAGGCCGGCGGATCTTTGTGAGTTTGAGGCCAGCCTGGTCTATATAGTGAGTTCCGGGACAGCTGGGGCTACAAGGAGACCCTGTCTCAAAAAGACAGAAAAAAAAAAAAAAACCCCAATTAAAAAAAAAAATATTTAGGGCTGGAGAGATGGCTCAGTAGTTAAGAACACTGATTGTTCTTGCAGAAGACCCAGGTTCAAATCCCAGCACCCACATGGCAGTTAACAACTGTCCATAGTTCCAGTTCCAAGGGATCTGAGAGCCTCTTCTGTCCTCTGAGGGCATTGCACAACATGGGTGCACTTACTTACATGCAGGCAATACACACATACATATAAAATAAAAATAATAAATAAAATATTTAAAAAATAATTATTTTTAAAAAATTTACTCCCTTTTCATAGATGTCCATCAATACTTAATTTTTAGTAAGGAAGCCATGAAAATAATATACACATTATCTTAATATGAACTGGAAATAATCATCTCAGATTAAAAAAAAAAAGAAAAAAACTTTTACATACTAAGAATCCTAAGCTAAATTCAAAAGGTACAACTGGCACATGTTTTTAATCCCAGCACTCTGGAGGCAGAGGCAGGTGATCTATGTGAGATCAAGGCCTACATAGTGAGTTCCAGCCAGCTGGGGCTACAGGGGAGACCTAGTTTCAAAAAAACAAAACAAACAAAAAAAGATGAGGTCTGGTGATATGGTCCAATTGGTAGAATGCTTAGAGTGCTGTTTTTTTTTATGTATGAGGCCCTAGGTTTAATCCTCAACAATGCATAAAATCAAGTGCTTTTTGTAAACACTTGGGGGATAGACAGAAGAATCAGAAGTCCAAGATCTTCCTCAGACTGGCTACATATCCAGTAGGAAGTCAGCCAGGACTACATTTAAAAAAAAAAAAAAAAAAGGCTGAGAAAAGGCAGGTATAGTACATATGTCTATAATCCCAGACTTAGGAAGTTAAAGGGGTGTCTTGGATTCTAAGCCTGCTGGGACTACACAGCAAAACTCTGTCTCCAAAACACACAGAGTTGAGAATCAAGTGAGATAAAGTATACAAATCCCTTACATACCATAAAAGCATACAAACATGAGCTATCAACAACTTTAGACTTCTGTTTCCTAGAAAGTTCTATTTTAAAAACCCTAAATTTTAGATTACTATCTCACCTATTTTCTTTTTCTGTTGTCGACCAGCTGACTCTGTTATAGTTTCCTTCTTCTTTTCCACTGCAATTATAAGCATGCAAAAATCATATATTAAAAAAGGCTACTTTATCACAGATGAATTATAAGAAAGTTATGGATTTATGATAATGACTGCATTAACTGGTTTGCTCCCATAACTGCTGACAGTTAAAGGTAAATAAAACATTCTACAAACAAAACAGTAAGTATTGGCTGGAGTATATAGCTCAATGGTTAAGTGCTTGCCTAGCATGCTGAGGCCCTGCATTCATCTCGAGCACTACAGAAAATAGTCATTGAAAGCCTCATTAATTACAATGCATTGTACTGAGACAATACCTAGAAATGATTTTCATGCTGTCCACTAAGGATGATTATCTTGATCATCAAAGCACAATTTTCAGCCAAGTTTTTTTTCTTTTCAGTGCTGGAGATGAATCCAGGGGCTCACACATGCTACGTAAGCAAGCACTCTACCGCCTACCTAGCCCCAAACACAATGTTCAAATTCTGCTTTCTCGGGTGTAATTACAGTTAATTTTAGTCCCATTCTTGTCTTTATCACAGAAGGCTGGAATTCATTCATTCATTATTGCCTAAGGAACACACACTTTTTTATCTAGGCTGAAGAAAAAAAAAATACAATCCTTGCCTCCTAAAGAACCACCTAGAGCTTGGTATGATGGTAAATGCCTGTAATCCCAGCATTTGAGAGGCTGAGCCAAAAGATCTTGAGTTCTAGGCCAACCTGACAATAGTGAGTATCTGTTGCTTAAAAGAAAAGCTGGGCATGATGGTGCATGCCTTTAATCCCAGCTCAATTCCAGCACGTGGGAGGCAGAGGCAGGCAGATCTCTGAGTTTCAGACCACAGGTTATACAAAGTCCCAGGCCAGCCTGAGCTAGGAGACCCTGTCTCAAAAACACAAATAACCTATTTGGTGTGGTGGCACACACTTTTAATCCCAGCATTCAGGAGACAGAGACAGGTAGATCTCTGTGAGATCAAGGCTAGCCTGGTCTACAAAGTGACTCGTACGCCAGCTGTGGTTACAGGGAAACCCTATCTCAAAAACAAAAAAAACCCACAAATAACAGCTGGGTATGACTGGCACATACCTTTACACCCAGCACTTGGAAGGCAGAGACAGGTGGATCTCTGAGTTCAAAACCAGCTGAAGCTACACACTGAAACCCTATGTGGTAGTTTGAATGAGAAATATCTCCCACAGGCTCATGTATTTAACAGTTGGTCCCCAGTTGATGGCACTGTTTGAGGAGGTTATGGAACCTTTAGCAGGTGCAGCCCTGCTGGAAGAACTATGTTCCTAGGCTTTGAGGGTTTATAGCCTCACCCCACTTCCTGTTCTTTCTCTCTGCTTCCTGTGTGTGGATGGAAATGTGATTAGCCAGCTTCCTGCTCCTGCCACCATGCCTTTCCCACCATGGTAGACACTATCCCTCTGTAACAACGAGCCAAAATAAATACTTTCTTCCTTAAGGTGCTTTTGGTCATGGTATTTCATCACAGCAACAGAAAAGTAATATACCCTGCAGTTTGAAAAAAAAAAAACCAAAGCACAATCTGGGAAGAACAGAATAGTCAATGGCAATTATAGTAAAGTAGGAAAATGGACATATACCCAGAGTAGGAAAACCAGGAGCCAAAAGAAGCTAAGTCCTAATATTTAATGCATTTCAATTAATACAAAAGAATAACATAAACTTTTGAAAAGGAATAATGTAATATATTTATATTTTATACTGTCTTTAATATTACCTATGAAAAGACTAGAGATAGATATCCAAAATGACTCTTTTTTTTTTTTTAATTGTTATTTGCTTTGTTGTTTGAGACAGGGTTTCTCCTGTAGCCCCAGCTGTCCTGGAACTCACTATGTAGACTAGGCTGGCCTAGAACGCACAGAGATTCTCCTGTCTCTGCCTCCAAGTACTGGAATTAAAGGTGTGTGGAATTAAAGATGTTTGACATCTACTTCTGGTAGATGTCAAAAATTACTTTTACTTAGTTTTCTTTTCATTATTGGCACCCAATATTATCTTAGTATACTAGGAGCAAACAGAATTTTACATATATTATACAAACTAAACTAAAGAGAATTAATAAGTAGAATTCTTACCCTCAGTACATTAAGTTTGTTGTTCAAATTCTTTTTTTTCCCTCCAGTACAGGACCCTGCACACACCAGGCAAGTGTTCTACCACTGAGCTTCATCTCCAACCCTTTCTTTAACTCTTAAAAGCAAAACTGGCCCTACTGCTTTATCAAAGAGAATAAAACTCAATTTGACTACAATACTACAAATGAAATTTTAAAGTGCTGAATGGTTCAGCAGTTAAGAACACTTCCTGCTCTTCAGAGAACCCAGGTTGGTTCCCAAAACCTACATGGTGGCTGACAACAGTCTGTAGGTCCAGTTCTAGAGGGTCCAACGCCCTCTTCTGGCCTCTGTGAACACTTTACATACATGGTGCACTTACATACACGCAGGCAAAACATATACATAAAATAAAAGTAAGTATATGGGGGGAGGGAGGCTATCGGAGGGTGCTATCTGGGAAGCGGGTGTAAAAATAAATTTAAAAAATAATAATTCTTCAAAGCATAAAAATTTGCTCCTTAATAATTAGTAGATGTGAAAAACATTACCATTGAAATCTACCTGATGAC